GAAGGTAAAGAAGCCTGAAAAAAATTTGCCAAGTACTATAGAATTTCGGCTGGAAAGAGTTTCAATGACTCCATCGATATGCCATCGGCACTCACTCTTTTTACAGCGACACCTGTTATTAAATCAGAACGCGCGTCATCCGCGGCGCCATAGATATCTACCGCCGCCACCGCCGCTGTGGCCAGCGGTGGCCGTACCCAGTATTGCATGAAAAAAACTGGAAGATCCCACGTACAGGGGGAATCGATTATATGCGAAGCACGAATGAGAAACGTTCATATGTCCCTTTAAAATCAGCACAACTTTGCGAGGTGGAGGTAAATGATGCCGTAAATGACTTCCGTGTCTTGATTATCATGTTTGGATGTGTCGTTTATTTTCATCATCTAGTGACGTGACGTGATACCAAATTTAGTATATGTGGAGCCAGCGAAATGGCGGCAAGCACGCTATGAGCGTGGTATGTTGTCATGTTCTTACATGACACGTGCGTGTGGATTTACATGTCTGCACCAGTCATACATTTTGTCATCCTATGGCTTTACTAACACCGAATTTGGTATATCTGGAGCTTGCCAAAGAGCCGCGAGCGCATCATGAAGGGTCAAATATACCCTAATGTAGCGTTGACGGGAACACTGGGCACAATGACGCTACGTTAGCAAAACGCGAGCGCTCTATGGTCTGACGCCAAGTGCGACCAGCGTCCGTCGGCGCAGTCTGACGGCAACCGGCACGAATTGCGACATGCTGCATTTCACGCCGATGCGTTACCCAGACAACACTGCGTATCGCTCTTTTTGGGATGGAGGGACGCCGGACGCGCTGAAACGCGCATGTGTCAAAGCAATGCAGCGCGGCGCGTGCCTGCGAGTATATGCCAGGGCCGGCGCCTGGCGTGGCAACGCCAGCGTGACGCGACGAAATGAGCGCCAGCGAGCATGCGCACCGCGTCACGTCAAAATGTATTGGTGTTTTGACTGTGGCATGTAGTCATGTTCTCACATGACACGCATCTCATGATTATAATGTTTGCACCAGTCACATATTAGTACATGTGAAGCTAGTGAAACGTCCGCAAGCGCATCATCAGTGTGGCATGTAATCATGTTGTTACTGGACACGCAGCTCATGTTTATCAAGTTTGCAACAGTATCATAACACTGTCATCCATTCACGTCCCGTCATACCAAATTTGGTATAAGTGAAGCTAGCGAAACGGCCACCAGCGCATCATGAGCGTGGCATGTAGTCATATTGTTACATGACGCGCATCTCATAAATATCTTGTTAGCACAAGTCGCATACTTTTGTCATTCATTCATGTACCGTAATACCGAATTTGGTATAAGGGACGCTAGCAAAGTGGTCACGAGCCCATCAGGACCGTGGCGTGTAGTCTTGTTGGTACATGACATTCATGTCTTTATTTTCATGTTAGGTCTTTCACTTGTGTTATCTATGCAATCATGCCATACCATTCCAGTTTTGCAACATGCTATGTAAACAAAACCACCGCAAGAGCTGCAGGACCAAGAAATGTATGTCATGACATTCGTGACACACATTTCTTGATTTTCATGTTATGACTAGTCAAATATGTTCTTAATACAATCATGCTATGCCATACCAAGTTTGGTATCGGCCAGGAGAGCTAAAAGTCGTAAGCTGATAGATAGATAGATAGATAGATAGATAGATAGATAGATAGATAGATAGATAGATAGATTAGATAGATAGATAGATAGATAGATAGATAGATAGATAGATAGATAGATAGATAGATAGATAGATAGATAGATAGATAGATAGATAGATAGATAGATAGATAGATAGATAGATAGATAGATAGATAGATAGATAGATAGATAGATAGATAGATAGATAGATAGATAGATAGATAGATAGATAGATAGATAGATAGATAGATAGATAGATAGATAGATAGATAGATAGATAGATAGATAGATAGATAGATAGATAGATAGATAGATAGATAGATAGATAGATAGATAGATAGATAGATAGATAGATAGATAGATAGATAGATAGATAGATAGATAGATAGATAGATAGATAGATAGATAGATAGATAGATATGCTCAAGTCACTGAAGTTCTCTAAGAAATGCTTCGCATTTAAAAACTCGCTAAATAAAAAACACCGATGACACCAGAGCCCACTGCGTACCTGCCCAATATTAGGTCTATTCGATTCAGCCTAGGTTCTCTGCACCTTCTGCACTTTTTCACGGTGCGCTGCACCTAGGTCCTCGATTCCCGAAGGTGCAGCGGCGCCCCCTGCACCAACGTCCTCAATTGTGGCGGTTGCAGGTACGGTGCTGCCGCGGTGCCGCGAACCCTTGAACCTCCCATCGCGAGGGTGCAGCATTTTGGGTGCAGCCACACAACCTGCTCCACGCGCAAGCTTGGCAGACAGCAGACGACAACACGACCAGCAGACGACAAATATGCCGGTGGTCGCGGACATGGACGGTGTCCAGACCGAAATTTTTCCCATCGTGGACGAGTTTAGAGTTATCGTCTTGGACGGTGACGCCGAACTCAACACTACCACAGGTAATTTTGCAAAAGCATGCTGGACCATTTGTCCGCTCACTGGCCCGACGGGGACATTTCTTCATTACCCTTTGTTTTGTTTTTTTTTTGCGGTTGTTGTTTTGCCTTTTTCAGATGGGAGACAAGTGCGGGTAGTTTGTGCGTCGGGTCGTCTTGCCAAAGCTGACCCGACAAACGAGCATGCCATGCCGGCTATGCCTACAACGCAGCCAACACCGCCAAACAATGCTGAGCCGACGACGCAGGCGTCCGCTGCTGCAGCTGCTGCGCTTTCTCCGGGTCATGCGCGTCGCGACGATTCGAAAGAAGCTCTATGGAGCGGTCGGAGGACCAGACTTTTGATTGAAAATATAAGGAGAATTTCAAAAACATCGGCAAGAAGGGAGGACTGAGGTGAGGCAGTGATGAGCACGTTGGTGATAAGCACGTGTGCATTACTTTTTCAACTTTTTTTTGCTCAAAGGAACAAAAAGCAGTTGTTCCTATACAGGACGGATGCCCTGAATGAGGAATTCGAGTGCTCCCTGAGTTTGCTCCAAGTGACGAATAAGTGGAAATCACTTGAAAGAGCCTACAAAAGAGCCCGAGAAAACGGTTGGAAGTCCGGCAGCGGAACTGTGGAGTGTAGGTTTGAAGAGTAAGTTTTCAGTGCTTATTATATCTTCCTCCTGAGTGTGTAATTCTGTTCATAACCAACTTCTATTTCATGCGTAGAAAAAGAAAACAAAAAACTTGCACATTAGCACGCACTTAAGTGGTTTTTCTTTTCACTCGAACCAGCTCATTGAAGCAGCCTTCTCCCTTAATGAATTTTTTTTCTGCAGAACAAATATGCCCTACAGTAAACCCCCATGTGCCCCCAAAAAAGTTATCATGCAAAACAACCTACATGCTACAAAAAATCTGTTAGGAGTTTCAAAAATGTTTTTGAAAACCCAATTTTTTGTTTTTAAAGTGACAGGGCTTGTGCAAAATAAATTTAGTTAGCAATCATGCATGTCTTTCTTTCATTTCTTTGAACTACATGCAACCAGTCGCCCAAAGTCACATTACGCTAAAGCATTAGGAAAGTCTGAGTCTCTAGCAAGTCTGGAGCTTCAGCTATTTTTGTCATCCTTGTCATGGGAACTGTAGACAGGCGATTGCACCACTGTAGGGTGCACTTATGGTTCCTACAAGTCATGTGGTCCGGCCATAATTTGTTTGTATTCCATTATGCACTAGTAGCACTACTTTGTTTGCGCACGTCAACCCAGAGATCCTCTGTTGCACTATTTGCCGGTTACGGATGCAATAATAAACCGAACTGGCTGATTTTCCATTGTCTTTCTCCTGCCTTAACATAAAACATAATTGAAAGAGAATGATGTTGAAGCTAAAGTTTAAGAGGGCTTGTCTTTCCTCTTGTGATAACTTTGGCTCAAGCGACATTTCCTGTTCAACAGATCACATCATTGCAAGCCTCTATCTTCTCCTAAAATTCTTTATAGTGCGAGTGGAAGTGGTGACGGAAGGCACGTTGCCATGTACATACTAATGCTTTGATGCCAATTGCATTCAATTTTCAGAGAGATGGCAGACATCATGGATAAGCAACACCATGTCAGCCCAATCGTGACTTATACACAGGGGTGCAAAATGGTCCGAGAGGACAACGAAACGTAAGTTTGGTCATCAAAGAGAGGTAAAAGCACCACTACTATACAATATATATTTTCACAGAGAACCAGAGGCTCGAGTGCAAGCTGCAGCCCCAGCCAGCCAGGAGTCTAGTGCTGAGGAAACAGCAGAAGTGCAGATGCGTAAGGCGAAAGATTCGCCTTTGGTGCAGCTGCTGCAGGAGCTTGAAGAGATTGAAAAAAACAGGGCTGCTCGACACACAGAAAAAATGACCCTGCTGGAACGTTTTGTGACAGCGTATGAAGCAAAAAAATAAACTTCTTGTTCTCATGAAGTCTCGTTTAATGGCATTGGTACAAATCACATAGGAAGGTGAAAATCAGAGGAGCAAAGCGTGTGAAACACACGATTTCAAGTCTTGACGGCAATGTTCTTGCGTAGCAGTTCACAAAAGTATGCGAAACATTTAAAAGTCTCCTCAGCATTGTGTGTCAGCAATGTTCTTGAAAAGTAATTCCAAGCATGTGAAACACTTAATCTGGTCTCAGCACTGTGTGTCGGCAAACGCAGTTCACACAAGTATGCAAAACATTTAAAAGTCTCCTCAGCACTTTGTGTCGGCAATGTTCTTGCAAAGTAGTTCACAAAAGCATGTAAAACACTTAATCTGGTCTCAGCACTGTGTGTCGGCAAAAGCAGTTCACACAAATATGCAAAACATTTAAAAATCTCAGCACTTTGTGTCGGCAATGTTCTTGCAAAGTAGTTCACACAAGCATGTAAAATACTGAACCTGAAGTCTCAGCACTGCGTTTCGGCAATGTTCTTGCGTCGGCGTTTACACATTCCTCTAACCGCTGCAGTGCTTGTGATGGCTCCTTCGTTGTCATTTTCAATGTCGTCTTCCCTCGGTAAATCCTCAAAGTTGCTCAATGTGTCACGACTTCTGCTACATAGGTTGTGTAGCACACATGCTGCTGTGACAATGAGGCAACACTGATCAAAAGTGTCTGCATCCACAAGATATAACCGCCTGAAGCGCTGGTTCAAAATGCCAAAGACATGTTCTATAGCTACGCGTTGCTGGCTGAGCCTCTTATTAAACTTTCGCTTGTAGCGCTCAAACGTGGCCCTGTTGCTCTTGTATGGAGGCATTAGCCATGGATGGAGTGGGTACGCTGCGTCCCCTAGTAAATAATCGCCGGCGCACTTAGATTCTGCAGTGCCGTAGAAGGGGCTCTCTCTCAGCACACGTGCGTCGTGTGCGCTGCCAGGGTAATGAACAAAAATGTCAGTGAAACGGCTGTTTGCATCGCAGATTCCTTGAAGAATGATTGAAGTAAATTTTTTTCTATTGTAGTAGGATGCCGGTGATTCATTCTGGTGCGGAATCTCTATGTGGCAACCATCAATACACCCAATAGTGTTCCTCGGACCTTACCGTCGCTCCTAGCAGCAAAGCCTGCTTTGATATTCGCCCGCTCTTGATCGCTGGGCCAAGCAATAACTTTATCACTGATGCTAAAGAGAAAGTCAAGAACCCGTTTCAAGCACAAAGACACGGATGACTCGGAGACATCAAAGGTATCCGCGATTCTATACATACTATTCTGCGTGCACAAGTAGCTGAGAGAAATCAGGCAAGTGTTCTCCGCTGGGATTTGGGGGCGCCCTCCCCGTGGCCTAGGAAAAAGGGCGACGACTTGAAGCGCCCCACGAGTGTTTCAAACGTCTCTCTTGACAGCCGAAACAGGCGCTTGAATTCGTAGTCAAAATAACGGGCCATAACTTCCTTGTAGTACCTAGGTGTGCGGTTACGATCGCTGCGGACCAATTGGGCACCAATTTGACACAACACTGCGTCGAGTTCCTCATCTTCACTGTCAGATTCAACCAATTCCATGGCGATGTGGAGTTCCTCCATGTTAACAAATCACGTGCAAATCCTCGGACACACAACTGACACAACTGACAGCCGCTTGCCGGTGCGTGCTAAGCCTCACTAGCCCCGTACTGCCCGTACCGTAGCAGACGAAAGGCTTGCACTGCACCTCAACATTCGATTGACATTTTAGCGGTGGCGCTGTTGATGCATTGCATTGGATGCACCTTGACAGAGGCTGTCAAGGTGGATGGACGTGTTTTTTGAGCGCTCCAGATCGACTGCGCAGATAAGTGTTTTTGCATGTTTTGAGCTTGTCTTTATAATTATAAGGCAGCGGTTGAAATCTTCGTAACACTTATTTTATGGTACGGCTTTTTCGGGGGCCAGTCACCAGGTATTTATTAGTTAGTGCGGGTGTGTGTGTTTGAATTTTTTGTTGTTTTTTTTTTCTTTTGCCACCCTGTGGGGGAGGTGCGCGTACATTGAACACGCAAATTTTTGTAGTAGAGCTTAGATTTTTTTCTCGTAGCACAGGGCTCGAGTTAAGTAATTATCGAGTATAGGGACAATTGGTGTCAGAAAGGCATGGTTAAAAACACTGTAAAGTGTTCAGGATGTGGAGTGGGTTTGAAAGTGGACCCAAGCGTAGAAGCGGATGGAGAAGAGGCTGACGCGAAGTGTAGGCAATGTGAGGTCGAGGAAAAAATGGAGAAAATGATGGTTGCCCAGAGTGAACTGCTGATGAGAATCGCCAAGCTCGAGACTGAGTTGGCGACAGAGCAAGAGAAAATGAGGGCAATGGGAGAAAGACTGAAGTCCACCGAGGAAGCGCTAGCGAAGCTAAACAAAGAAGCGACCTACCGAGAGAACAGTAGGGAACCGGCAACCAGAACGGTGGAGAAGGAAAAGCAAGCAAGTTTGGAAAAAACAGGTTTAGCCGGTTCAACTGTCGCAAGGCCCAGCTTCAGCGAGGTAGTGGTAGGGCAGGGAGGGAACAAAGCAGCCGGCGTCACAGGTGCAAGTAGCCCCCAGGTGCAGAACGCTCCAGCTGAAAAGTCGCAGCATGTGATAATCGCCGGGGACTCAAATTTAAATCGATGCACAGAAGCCATCAAAGAGAGGGTAAGAGGTGACAAGAGGGTGGCAGTAGGGGCGTTCCCAGGACGCAAGCTGGAAGCAGTCATGAGGCAAGCGAGCGCAAAGCTCAAAACGACAGCTGATAGACGAAACCTAGTGATGATTTCAGGCTGTTTAAACGATGCCCTAAATGGAGATGCAGCAGGACTAGCAGCCACACTGGCGAAAGGCGTCGATGACATGCGCGCCACTTCTCCTAAGGTAGAGGTAGTGATATGCACGATACCGGAGGTACCGGTGCGTGATAGCAACCTGCAAAGAGTGGTGGTCAACGCAAACCAAGAAATATGGTGGTTGAGTCGAGAGAAAGGCTTTGAGGTGGTGGAAATAAACAGAGAGGTGCATAGGTGGGGGGGGGGGGGGGTTTCACGAGACAGAATTCACTTCGATGGGCGGTTAGGTCATGAGGTCGGTTGGCGACTTGCAGGACGCACAGTAGCTTTTTTGGGGGGCAAGCGAGCTCTTCGGGGTGCAGGGTAGCTAGTAACGAGCAAAAGAACTAGGGAGACTCTTCAACAGGTGGTATGGACAGATACGATTCCAAAGTGGCACCAATATCTAAGATAGGTAGAGTCCGGGGCATAAATAGACGTAGCCACGAGCGCCGAGCCAATTCAGACATAGGGTATATTAACATGCAGGGTGGTAGGAACAGGCTGAAGTGGGAAGAGATAGAAGAACAGCTAAGGGAAAAAAGGCCGATGGTATACGGTTTTGTAGAAACACATCTCAGGGACATGGAACAACCTCCGAACAATCCGGACTACGCGTGGGAATATTGTAATAGAACAGAAGGCAGCAGAAAGGGGGGTGGTATTGAGGCATTCATTCATAAAAGCACAGACTGGCAAAGGGTCAAGCAGGAGTGCAAGAAACATTTATGGCTAAAGGGGAAAGTGGCAGGTCAAATGCCACTCCTTGGTTTCGTGTACTTGTGGACGGGAGCAAAGGCCAGAGAGGAAAACCAGACAATGGTAGAGTGTATATCAAAGGACATTCAGGAGTTAGGAAGAGAGTGCGAGATAATTATACTAGGAGACATGAATGCGCACATAGAAGATATAGATGGGTATACCGACCCGACAGGCAAAATGATCATGGATATGTGTGAAAGGCTTGATTTGATCATTTGCAACAGTACCGAGAAGTGTGAAGGGCAAATAACATGGGAGGTAGGAAGGCTTCAGTCGACGATAGATTATGCACTGATGTCACATAGGATGTATGATAAGCTCAGGGAATGCACATAGATGAAGGTGGCTCCAGAAGTCTGGGTAGTGATCACAAACGTATCAAGCTAAGTTTTGGAAGAGGAGTGAAAGTGGGAAGGAGACAAGATGAGCAACTACCGGAAAATTTTTTGTCCAGAAAGGCAAATTGAAATAGCCACTAAACGAATTGAGAAAGTAATCACGGAGGATAATAAGACAGTGTGGACATACACGAATCTAATTAGACTCTTTGAGCTAGAGCTTGCTAAGACGCGTGACAAGTCACCCCGGAAATGAAGACACAAACCAAAAGTTGGTGGGATGAGGAAGTTAAGAGAGCCATAGCAAAACTTCAGGAAGCCTCTAGGGAACACAGACATGCTAAGCAGCGGGGTGAACCGACAGATGATGTTGAAAGAAAATGGGCAACCTTTCTAAGCTGTAGAAGGGATGCATCCCTTCTGATCAATGAAAAGATTAGAAGGAAGGGAGCTCAGTGGCTGGCAGAAGTACATAAAAAAGATAGAAAGGCAGCTGCGAAATTTTGGAACCATCTAAACTCCCTAAGAAATGAGACGAGCCTAGAGCAGAGATTTATAACTACAGCCCAATGTGCTAGGCAGGAAGGGGACGAAGCTATTGAATATATAAGAACAAAAGTGACAGAAAAATTTCAACAAAAAAGTACTTTATGCACCACAATAGACGAGGACGAATCAAGTGGCGCAATGGCTCCATTTTCACAACAAGAGTGGGAAAGGGCTGAGAAAACGGTTCCTAGTAGTACATCAACAGGCCCAGATGGCATTCCAATTAGGCTGATAAAGACATTAGGTCCGAAGTCTAAGCAGGCTTTGAGAGAGGCAGTGAGCACAATAATAATCGATGGTGAAGTTCCCGATGGATGGAAACTTAGCAGGATGAGCATGATCTATGAAGGAAATGGAGACAAAGCTGACATAAACAACTACCGTCCTATAACAGTGACATCAGTGGTCTACAGGCTGGAGATGCAGATTATAAAGGAAAGACTGCAGGCGTGGATAGAGGATGAGGGGGTGATGGGGGAACTGCAGAATGGGTTTTGGAAACACAGGAGGTTGGAAGACAATCTGTTCTCACTGACGCAGTGCATCGAAATAGCAAAAAAGGAACACAGGCCCCTGTGGCTAGCATTTTTGGATATCAAAGGAGCGTACGATAGCGTGGTAAAGAGGAATTGTGGGAAATACTGGACACACTAGGCGTGGAACATGTAGTCACTAATCTTTTAAAGGGTATCTATAAAGGTAACAAGGTAGTTATAAAGTGGGAAAAACAGGTATCCAAGCCTGCAGAGGTAAAACGGGGGCTTAGGCAGGGGTGCCCCCTGTTACCCTTATTATTCATGATGTACCTACAATGATTAGAGGCAAAATTAGAGGGAAGTGGACTGGGCTTCAACCTCTCTTTAGTCAAACAAGGAAAACTTATGATCAGGCACTACCAGCAATAATGTACGCAGATGATATAGTGCTAGTGGCCAACAACAAGGAAGATTTGCAGAGATTGATGGACATCTGCGGTATTGAGGGAGATAGTTTAGGTTTTAGATTCAGTAAGGAAAAATCAGCAGTCATGATTTTCAATGACAACGAAGGTAGTGAGCTTAGAATACAGGAGGTCACGCTAGAGATAACAGATAAATAGAAATATCTGGGCGTATGGATAAGTAATGGTACCGACTATCTGAGGGAACACGAAATATACGTGACGACTAAAGGTAACAGGAATGCAGCAGTCATGAAAAATAGGGCACTGTGGAATTACAAGAGGTATGATATTGTGAGAGGATTATGGAAAGGGGTCATGGTTCCTGGGCTGACGTTCGGCAATGCTGTCTTGTGCATGAGATCAGAAGTTCAAGCAAGATTAGAAATTAAGCAACGTGGAATAGGTAGGCTTGCTTTAGGAGCTCACAGGAATACACCAAATCAGGGAGTACAGGGTGATATGGGATGGACATCATTTGAGGGCAGGGAAGCTAGCAGCAAGATAAAATTTTAGAAGCGATTGAGAGAAATGGGGGAAGAGCGTTGGGCTAGGAAGATCTTCAGCTACTTGTACATGAAGAGTGTCGATACAAAATGGAGGAAGCGAACCAGGAAGTTGACTGGTAAATACTTAGAAAACAGCAGGTGGCCAAACCAAAAAGAACTATCGGTTAAGAAGAAAGTGAAGGAAACGGAGACTGACATGTGGAGAATGGGCATGATAAAGAAGTCCGCACTAGAGATCTATCGAACGTTTAAGCAGGAAATTGCCAATGAAAGGATCTAAGATAATACTCGGGGTAGTTCTCTACTGTTTGAGGCCAGAACGGGAGTACGGCGAACCAAGACATATCGGGCCAAATACGAAGGGGTAGACACAGCATGCAGTGCGTGTGGAGAGGAAGAAGAAACTGCCGAACACTTGATAATGTTCTGTAAAGGGCTTCACCCTATAGTTCAGGATGATGGCGCAGAGTTTTTCAAAGCACTGGGGTGTAGGGACTGGGAGGGCAAAATAAACTTTAAGCGGGTAGACTTAACTAGAAGGAGGTTATCTGATTGGTGGCTAAAGTCAAGGCACAAGTGAAAATTAAACTCTTCACTGCAAAGTACGAATCCTCAAACCCTTTTTTAAGCCAAAAAAAATATAGTTTTTGGTTCATTAGGTATGACGGCTTGGTGGCGCTAGCCACCGCCCGATCTAAAGGGTACAGCCATATCCATCCATCCATCCATTTGCACCCCAAAACGGGTGCCGAGAAACCTGCGACACTGCTGCACCAGGTGTCGGCACCGGCTGCACCTTTTTGAATACGGTTCCGTGCA